GAAAGCTGTGTTCATGTGGTGTTTACCTTGAATCTACTGCAGTATATCACAGCTCCTGCTGGCTCACTGAGCTCCTTGAGCACATTACCTAAAAAAAGAAATGAGAGTATAGGTTCAATACCTTGGTTTTTCTCTCATTTCAGCTTTAAATAACCTCTTAAAGAAGCCACATTTTCCTCACCATTTCCTCCTGCCCCCTGATCATGTATACTGCAGATCGGATTTCTGCCACTTCTTTCCAGGCATGCCCTGAGAGCACGGTTCATCTTTTGCTCCATCTCAGCATCTCCCCTTTGGACAGCACCCAGATCCCTGTCGCTGGAGTTGTCCCCCTGGACCTACAAGTTTACATGTACTTAAATACTGAAAAACATTCACGTCACGCGAGGTCATTGATCAATTGTAGTGTCCATACTTGAACAGAAGAGGCTGCTCCTCCTCCTACACCGATCCTGTACACCGGCCCTCCGATCTTCACCACCTCCATTCCTGATGGACAGCAGAGCAGCAGAGAGTCTCTGATCAATGTGTGTAAATATAGCCTCTGAATTGATTAACGTCATTTCACACAGTGTGTTAAAGCATCACCAGGCTCTGGCGCTTCTTTCTTCACGTGGATATCTTCGATAGAACCGAGACCACCACTGAACATGATCGGCTTAATCCATTCCCGTCGCTCCCCATTAGCCAGCCGCATGCCGAAGGAACGAGCAAAGCCTAAAGGAGGGTTATATGTTAAAGCAGTGCCAAAATAATTCAATAGTCATTCATAAATTTGTACAGTTATGTTAGAAAACAGGTTACAGATTTAAAGATGCAATGTTTTTGGGGAAGCAGTCTGAGGAAAAGAGACAAAATGAATTTTCTGCAACAACAGAGATAATATTGGATTTGTGTTGTTGTTTAAACTTATGTGTTTAGTATGTACCATCTTCCTACCTGAGAGGACAGGTTCTCCAAACTTGTTGCCGTAGTCCGACGCTCCATCGCTGGCCTCAATGGCCACCTGCAGAGGAGGGGCAAAGGTGGAGGGATACTCCCATCCCTCTCCTTTACACTCCCATGGGAGATCATATCCTACAGATGGAAAGACATGTTGACTCAAGGTCAGTTTCTGTGCAGTACAGTCCAACCATGTTTTCTGATACCTTATTAACAAAAATGCATCTATTTTACGTTTGGCATGTTGTGCCTCAGGGTTTCATTATTAGACCATTATCCATTTTCTGTATAGATGCCATGTGTGTGGCAAATCATTCAAGACTTTCAGATTCTTTTTAACTGTTATCCAGATGACGTCTAGGGCTACGTCCACACGTACACGGGTATTTTTGAAAACGGAGATTTTCCGTTTTCATTTTAAAAAATAACCCCGTCCACACGTAAAGGCAGAAATGAAGCAACAGGTGGCGCTATATTCCTAACCGTGCAGAAATGTTGGCCAATCAGAAGTCTAGAAGCCTCGGTGGGAAAAAGTAAACAAAGCTGGGGCATAGAAGCAGAACCGAGTGGTATGTGCGGAGGGACAGTAACTGTGTGTGTATATGTAAGCATTTAAACACTGTACAGAGTACAATTAACAGTATTGTAGAAATTCATTTCACCGAAACAATAACATGGCGCACAGTGTGACGTCAAAAAAGGCGCACACCTTTGACGCTGCATTTTCTGCGTTTTTCTCGTCCACACGTAAACGCAAAAACTGAGTTTTCAAAAATATCCACCCTGGCCGGAGTTTTCAAAAATCTCAGTTTTCAGTGACCAAAAACGCCGTTTACGTGTGGACGAAAGGTGCAAACGCATAGAAAAATCTGCGTTTTCAAAAATACCCGGGTACGTGTGGACGTAGCCTAGGTTTATCTAAATGAATGTGGTCAAATTCTTCAATTTTACTTTTAAAGAGAAAATTATTAAACTTTAATGAAACCACCTTTTTACTTTCCTCAACTGGCAATTCACTGATCAACATCAACCTCGAACCAAAACCATTTTAGCATCCTCACATGGTGCCAAAATGACTCATCGATAAAAAACTATATTTAGGTATTTAAAACTTTTACTTTGTAGTGAAGACTTGTCATATATTATAATAACTCTAATATGTGGATTTTAATTTGTTGTCCTGTAGGTTTTAAAGCAGCGGTCCTCAATCCCCGGGCCACGGACCGGTCCGTGAGTCGTTTGGCACTGGGGCGCGAGAGTTGAGGGTCGGGTGTGAAATTTATGGTTTTCAGGGTTTTTATCGTTAACTCTGCTTCTTTGGGTCTTTTCCCGTGTTGTAGTCGTGTGTCTTATTTTGAAAGAAATATTTACATGTTACCATAGCAACCAGAGAGCATTAAGAGGGAGAGAGGAGGACGTTACTCTCAATGTTGTGGCCGCATTTCAGGAGGACCCTGCTAATAAAGTTAGACAGTGAATTCACGTTTAGTATTATATTTACAAAGTTTTTGTCTTAGTTGTATCATTTTATTTTGTTGTATTTATCTGCGACACCTTAAAGGCCGGTCCGTAAAAATATTGTCTGACATTAAACCGGTCCGTGGCGCAACAAAGGTTGGGACGGCTGTTTTAAAGCTTGCCCTTAAACATTAGATGCATAGAGTCTTGGACCTGGTATGTGCAGGTTCCCGAAGCAGTATCCTGCAGTGCCAGCAACGACGTGGCCTCCTCGTCCGGCACTCTGGACATCTCTGATACGACCGCCAGTCCCTGTTGTTGCTCCGCTGAACGGTGATACACCTAAAATGTCCATCCAGCTCACGATTAATCTCAGGTAAAAACAGAAACTTGCATTTTAAATAAGTACAAAACTTTTTGCGCCCTAACCAGTCGGGAAGTTGTGCGTCTCTGCTGTGAAGATGACATGTCTTAGTGAGCGCCGAGTCTCATACGGGCTCGCTTGGGATGGGTCTTTTGGGTAAATGAACTCAAGCTCCATGCCTTTGATGCCACTGAACACACACAGAAAATTTACAGTGAGCCAAAATAGACAGACACGCTCACAAGTGTGCTCGCCCCTGCTGTCGCCACTACTACCTGCTGTTGTCGCAGAACTTGATGACGTTGTTCTGGTTGCTGTGCCGCTGCGTGTCCATTATGAGGCTGAAAAGAGTCTCCTTCTGCTCCTTCCCGTCAATCACCATCCGCCCCCGGAAGAACCAGTGACGACTGTGCTCACTGGGAAGGACAAAGAAAGCCTTGCAGCGTATAAATACCAAAAACACACAACACACAGAGCAGTCCCGCCAATCTGTTCACTGCAGACGACCCCACCTATTGGACTGGGCCAGGTCAAAACATTCCACACTGGTGGGGTTCCTTTCAATCCTCTGGAACATCGATGTGTAGTAGTCCAGATCCCAGGCGTCAAAGGCCAAGCCTGCACCAACCACAAAAGTGCATCCATAAAATTTCTCAATACTGAAAAAAACAACCACATGGCATCACCCGATCATTTAAAGAGCACCGAGTAGTTTCCATCCATTTACTATCGATTCAAAACGTGCTCTTCTAAAAAGGTGCACAGCGCTTCGGTCAGCATTTCTTCCCCTGAATAGTTCTCTATATATAAACTTGGAAAAATATCATTTAACCCTCGGGCGAAACAAAAATCAATCGACACACTCCCATGCATTCAAACATGCTTCAAAACACAAGAAAGCCGACAACTCTGACATGGTTTTGGCTCGTTTACACATAAATTTGATCACTTCCACTGCACTTAAACTTAAGCAGTACTTAGCATGAACACATTACAATTAGCATTCCAAGGATCCACACTGCATAACAACCTCGTGTCCCATCTATTAAACACCAAAACACTGAGTGTAAAATTGATTTCACAAGGATTCAAAGCAGCTGTAGTCAGAACGAATTCCACATATACCTTTTTAATTATCTCCTCAATTCACCAGCCAAGCATGGCGGCGCCTACAAAGTACGTGCACCGAAATGATTCTCATTTCTTTGAGTGCTTGTGAATGTTAATGAAGCTGAGCGAATAAGCAGAGCATGAACATAAGAACGCACGCCACGTTCTGTCGCTGTGGCTGGTGTCAGCCTGAACCCTGTTCACATTATTAGGAGGAAATAATCACTCAGCGTGCAGACACATGAAATGTTTTACAGTTCTGGGTCATTACACAGAAAAAATCGCCGTTATGCACAGATGACAGAACTGACTTGTTCGTATGGCTGCAAAAAGTATTTTTACTGTGAGCCGTAACTGCAATCTTAATCATTTTGGTATTGAGCTTGTTTTTGCAGGAGATTTCCTTAAACTTTAAATATTATTTAAAGGAAAAATTAAGGAGTTTGAAGAGGACACAAGGTCGTCTGGTCAAACAATTGCAACTGGCTGTTTCTGTCAGCCTACAGCTTTCACCGCAGTGTGACTGCAGCTCCAGGTCGGCGAATAGAAGATCATGTTACAACGGGCTCATAAACCCGAAGGAGAGACACCGAGTGCGATATACTGGAGCGCTTTAGCATTCAAAGCTAAAACGGGAATTTTAAAATTGACTCTAAAGCTAACAGAGAGTGAATAAAGATGCAAGACATCTCTTCTTGGAAACAGTTAAAAGATGTGCAGCTGCATTTTGGACAGACTTCAATGGATTTTAAAGATGGTTAGTTGAGAGCGGTAAATAGCAATAATTTAAGCAAGAAAATATAAAACCAAGAATGACTTAGAAATGACACACATTAACTTAGCAATGATCCTTAAATAAAATCAGTGTCACTAGGGAAACAAAAATGATTTTAAAGTGTGATTAACCGCTGCATCCAACTTTTTCTAGGAAAATAACTTAACTGATTTTATTATCTTATACAGTAATGTCTCAAGCCACTTCTAATTTATTTGCATGTTAATGTTAATATAGTATATAAGGCAAAAATAGAGTCGGTACAGTTTTAAAACTCAGTATTTGGTATGAGCACCTTTGTTCTTCAACACAGCTTAGGCAATAAAAATCAAAGACCTCTGAGTGTTTTCTGCCTTTAGTTGATGACAAGATGATCTCACAGTGTTCAGTGATGCTGAGGTCAAGGCTCCAGGAAGGCCCGTCCATGACTGACAGTGTTTTGTTCTGCTTTTACTCCATTTCAGATACCATTCACCTTTTTTTTTAGGTCTGCCAATAAGTTATTTGTTCTCCAGTTTTCTCCAATTTTTTAAGGACAAACTACACACCATGCTGATACGCCAAATTTTTAGTTAATAGCTCTTTAAGAATCACCTCAAGGGTACAAAAATACCATTTTATGCCTGTAAAACTGGGATTTTATGACATACTGCCTGTAACTAAGCGCTTAAAGACAAAAAATTAAATAATATGTTGTAAGGTTTTCGCCATGTGTGGACTAAGCACTGGTTCAGTCCCTTGTTTTCTGTGTGTTACAAACCTTAACAAACAAACTAACAAACAAAGAAAATGGTCAGGTATAAGGACTAAAAACCTTTAGTCAACCAGAAACAAACAAAACAAAAATCTTGGCTTCAAATATCACTCAGATCAGTTTATTCAGTCCTTCAATCGACCGCCTTTATCTCTTTAGGGTTTTACATTAGACACACACATGCACGTGCAAGATAATCAGCAGCATCACTGCCGTCCTGTGACTTCAACCAGCTAAGTAATAATGTCATGCATCATGTGACATTATTAGCAGTGTACTCACAGACCACTGTAAGACTGAGAAGCAGCGTAAAGGAAGAGCAGACAAAGAGAGGAGAGAGGCAGGTCACAGTTCATTAAATGCAATAAAAGACTGATTGAGGAAATTAAAAGAGGATGAAGCTCAATAATGCTCCATTAATTAAGAGAGCCCCAGTAAGGAAACTCTATTAAAGTGTAAAAAAAATATAAAATGAATAAATTCTCACCCAGCTCATCGTTAGCGCTCTCCAAGGCTGCGCGACCCTTCCCCAGGATGTCCACGTCGAACACCGCCTGAGGTTCCGTTTCCACAGTGAAGGAGGTGATGGGGTGTTGATAGATGCACTCCGTCATGCTGTCATACAGACACTCAATCAGCTTCTTTACATCTCCACTGATTTCACTCACACTCTGCTCGGTCTTGGGCTGAAACGGAGACAGTTCACATTAGACCCAGAAAGTAAAGTCGCGAAAGAAAAAGAAAAATATATATATGCGTAGATTTTTCTGTGTGTGTGTGTGTGTTCACACCTTGATGAGAAACCTGCGCGACAGCTCAACTCGGGTGACATTAGTGAGACCGGCGCTCTGGCAGATGGACACAGCGTTAGTGGACCAGGCAGTGGAGAAGTTCAACCTGAAAATAGAACATAAAAGACTTTTTTTATAATGTAGACTTTCTCTCATATGAACGATTTAAAAGAATTATTTTAATTAAAACTGTACCATATGTTTCCCTATTTACTTTTAAGTCAGGCTCGCCTCCAGTCTGCGCAGCACTTTTAAAGATTTCCATATTACTTACCCTTAGTCACAGTGAACACCTGCCTAACATTGTTCAGTACAGACGGTATTTATTTTAATGTATGCCACAGGAAGTCACAAACGTCTTGGCCAGAACCCTCACGGCCTGGCTTGTTTGCAGTTTACCAGTTTGACTCTTTGTTTCCTGCATTTCATAACCTTAAGTTCTCATTTCACTAACTGGAATCTTATTTATACAGAATGGCAATGTCTAAGGCAGGAAAGGCAGGAGGAAAAAAACAGAAAGAACAAAAGTTGGGGTATATGTGGTCAAAGAATAGAGTACAAATAGAAATGCACATGTATCGCCAACTGCCAAGAAAACAAATATACAGCACCTGGAACACAAACATTTGAAAATGCACAGGTACAGATTTGTATCTTTCTTCCAGCTCCACCTTCTTGCAGCTCGTAATCGCGACCTGCTGCCTAGGACTGCAATATCTGAACCATTTTAGTTAGAGAGGTGCTGTGGATCTCAAAAAAGAACAATTACTAGCAATCCCAGCTGCAATCCCAGCTGCAATCCAAAAACAGTGGAGGTGGATGTCGGATCCTCGCTGGTAAAGCAGCTGATTGCTACCTAGCCGGGACCTCACCAAGTCAGGATTCACAGGGAAAGGCCAGGGCTAGCTGCTTGGCAGTGACTGAACTTTCAAAATAAGAGCAGGGATTGCCTGGTAAAGCAACTGCAGATGGCGTCTGTGTGTTTTGTGCTAAGCAAAAAGACTGTGAGATGCAAATGAATTATCTCTAAAAACCAGGCAGCAGTACCTGGGCCCGATCTCCACCAGTTTCTCCCCACTGCCCTCTGTGAGGTTTGGTTTCTCAGACAGCGGCTCTGCGTGCAGAGGATGACGAAACAACCAGAGTAGAACCCCCTTCTGCTCGTCGCTGAGACTCTCGCAGCCTGCAAGAGAAAAATCACAGCAGGACAAAACATTATAAACAGATGTAAATGTGACATTTTAAGTGGTAGACAAGTAAAAAACCTTTAAGGTGAATTCAGTGACTTTAATCCTCATTCTACCCACATCCATAATAATTAGCATCTTCAAGGCCTGTTACACACTCACCTGTCAGTTCCACATTGTAGCACAGCTCGGTCGTGGCTAACAGATGTGGGTAGAGCTTGGCTGCCCTTTGTAAGGCCCGACTTTTCAGAGCTTCATTACTGTAGAACCTCACGACAGCCATGACTGATGAAGAGATACACAAATCCAGTTAAAAGCCAGAGGGTAGTGCATTAGTCAAATCAATTGTAGAGGGTCAAAGAAGGTGAATTTTAGGGATCATTTGTCAATAGAATTGATTTAGCCTATTACTAACTGCATTTTCTGAAGTAACGAGTCATTAAATCAGAGTCCAAAGTATGAAATTGATGACCAATATTAAGTGTGCCGACCCTTGTCTCCAGATCGATTCAGGTCAAGACAAACCAATAATACGATAGCAGGCCACTCGTAATACTGCAAAAAGCCTACAACCCATTCCAACACCTCCGCAAGACCTCAGAGAGGCTGTGAAAGCCATCTCTCAGTATAGCAGAGTAATCTATGTTTAGATACGGCACTTTTCAAAAGCTTTAAGAGCTTTAAATATTTTGATTACAAGCCATTACGCTGTAGCAGGATCGGGCTACACTTCATTCTGAACCCAAACAGGAAAAAGAACTGGAGTCCTGCAACATGCTATGGGCCACACAGCGCCCGGATTTCATCATCATGGAGTCAGCGATTTAATGAAGGGATAAAAGAAAGAGGAGGGAGGCTGAATCTGCACATTTTGTGCCAAGGACCTCGAAGGCACACAGAACAGAGAGGATGTTACAAGATAAATTCTCACTCCGACTTTTTTTTGGATTTTCAGCAAGATTACACAAACTACAGAGGTGAATTTCATGAAATTTGCTACAAAGGTGGAACAGGAGCTAAGAGGAAGAACGCTGGTACAGATCACTTTATTTTGATTTGAAATTCTAAGAATTTACATTAGCAGAAAACACACTGAAATCTAATTTTCATTTACTGTACATTGAGTTCAAAACAAATAAAAAACTATTAATACTGCACGATCTCAATTTATTTGTAGTTTCTAAAAGTTTTCAGTCCACTGTACGTTTGATTCAAAAGGAGAAAAAGGTTGCAAATCGTCACAGAAAGCCAACGATATCAGCATGTTGAACATACAACCCAGGCACCACAACAAAGTTTGAAAGGTGTATTCAAGTCATTAACTATTCCAATTTTTAATTACAAAAAGAAGTTAATCCATTTTTGGTAAAACATCTGGAAAATGTCTAGATCCAGACTCAAGTTGAAAGATGTATAACACTTTTGCAAGGTTAGAAAACCAACATGTGAAGGTTTTCTTTGATCTGTACTCTACATGTATTGACACATGTGCAGAGAATACGTTTTTTTCCTCCACATAAGAAATTCTGGGCTCCCCTAAAGAAAAATGAGCAGTACCCTAGCACTTATTGTGTGAATGTGTGTGTGAATGGGTGGATGACAGGTTGTGTAAAGCGCTTTGGGGGTCCTTAGGGACTAGAAAAGCGCTATACAAATACAGGCCATTTACCATTTATTTATTTATTAAAAAATATTCTAATTAAAAAAGAATTCATGTCATCAGATTTTCAAGAGATAAGAGATGTTTGTCATTAACACTTAAGATTTCATGGTTTCAAAAGTATTTATTCATTTCTTTATATATATTTGCTGTGGCTCAGGGGAACATTCTATTAAACTTCCTTAATTTTACACTTAATAAAACCTACATTACAATAATAAATGCAGAACTATGTCCAATATAAAATCACACACACACGATCCTGATCCTGATAAATGGCCCACTGATTGCAGGTCACACACTGCACGGTCAGGAGTTTTCTGTTAGTGTTAAACACGCTACAAACTGCAACCCCCTTTAACATAAACACACACACACACACACACCTCTGTGTCAACTGACTGTAACACAACAACGACACATTATAAGGGATACAACTTCTTAATAAGTGACTCGTGTCTAAAAAGAGCTGGGGGAGTTTTCCATGTTTCCTGTGTGGAAGCTAAGCGGCTAAAAGGCAGCAGAGTTAGCAGAAAGCACATTAGCTAACTTACGTGCAGCAGCAGTTACGCTGTCTGGGATCAAACTTGGTCTCTGCTGGAGTCCCGGAGTAACTTCTGCTCCTGCAGGACAGACTGAAAACGGCTGAGTTAGCTGCGGTCGGCACACTGATTGACAGACTGACTGAATGGATGGAAGGATGGCTGGACCTCTGCACCCACGTGTGAGCCACTCAGACTGCAAGACGCATGCGCAAGTGGGTGTCGTAGCAAAGAGTGATTTACAGTATTTGCTCAGTGATGATCCCCAGTATTTAAACTGTGGTAAATTACTTTTTGGCTTATAATCTGTCAATTTTATCCCATATTTCAGCCATATTTCTTATGAATGATATCAACTAATTTTGAGCAACAGTGAACTTTCCTGTCACAAGTTAGAAGCTGGAATCTGTTTGTTTTTGTTTTGTTTGTTTTTGTTTTTGTTTTGTTTTGGCAAAGTGATTTCTATTTATCCTTTATTTATTCTGGGAGAGTCTCATTGCCATTAAAAATGTCTTTTTCAATCGAGTTCCAGAAATTGCACAACAGTCCTATAAAGATATTTTAAGTGGGCAAAAGGGACAAAAGGAGGATAATGCTTTCAAAACAGGTTATTTCTTTATTTTATACAAATCCTCTTTGTAAATCCTGTTGATGGCAGTCTGTTTATCATTATCAGCAAACATACTAGAAGTTTCTGCGATGTCAGTGAATTTTGGGAGGCTTTGAACTTTTAATGTGAAAACTGCCAACAGGGAAGCAACTTGTAAATTATTTTGTACTTTTTAAAATTTCTAAAAGACCTGAAAATAATCATTTTTATTTAAAATGATTCCGAACAAGCTGAAATTAATAGAACTGGGGGGTGGGGGGCATACCATTTAGATCTTCATGCTGGAAAACTTTGGGGGTTTACTTTGACTATTAATCTTAGTATTTCTAACATCCTGTCCCGGTGATCCTAAAGAATTGTATACAGCTCAAGGGAGCCAATTACAGTTTCCTTATTTCTCCTCATATAAACTCACCCTGCACATCTTTCCTGCCTCAGGTCTTTGTGGCAAAAATTCAACAAGGTGCTGAAAAAGTTCCTCAGAGATCTCAGTCCACACTAAGATAGTAAACATCACACAGCTACTGCAGATCTGGTGACTGTGGAGGCCATCTGAGTACAGAGGACTCACTCTCATGTTCATTTAAATTTTGTGACACCACGAACTAGCCTTCTGGAAGCAGCCATCAGAAGATAGGTACAATACTCAGGTCAACTGTGGCCTTAAAATAAGGCTCATTTGGTACTAAGGGGCCCAAAGTGTGCCAAGAAAGTATTGCCCACATCATTACAAAACAATCACAAGCCTGATACAAGGCAGGGTAGATCCATGTTTTCATGTTCTTTATGCCAAATTCTGACGCTACCATTCAAATATATGTGCAAATAAACCCTGTAAGCAAAAAGCTGCTGTGGGTGCAGGTAATATAGTCATCCCAGGGACACAATTCATGTTGTGAGTAAAGAAATAGCCCCCAACTGCTGTTTAAACTTGATGTACCAGGTACAACCAATCAGAAAAGAGTTGGCTTTAACTAATGGTGACATTAAAGAGAGAGGATAGGATACACTGGGTTTGCACCCAGGAGCAGAATAAGGTAAATAACTACTATTTTGAACTGTGAGTAATACAGTGCTGCTCTGGTGCAGTCCAAAAACAGAAATATGGAGTTGTAAATTCGCATAATAGGCTCACTCTCTCAAGCTATAAAAAAAACAAAAAAAACAATTGAAGACATTTTCTTAGTTGTGTAAAACGTTTTGAAAATTGGAAAATATATGCAAGAGGTTGCAGACATTTTAATACAAGTGTTGAAAGAAAAGAACAAAAATACTCCCACACACACACATAAAAAGTCAAGAGTTGCAGTCTTATATATATTTAATAAATTAAAGCCAAGGTACAAAAAAAACCAAGTACATTTCATACCTCCCTCCCCTCCTCCACCACTTACAAGTCATTCTTTAAACTGTGACAAACATTGTTCATTTCCTCGCCTCAGAGTAAGAGCGAAACACCGACAGAGGATCGGCGTTCAACGTCACAGTTCATATCAGACTCTGAAGCAGAACAGCTCACTCCAAAGCCAATTCATGCCTCGGATCTCACTCCGCAAATCGCATCTCTACCCTACCTCGCCCCCACCCACCCCCTCCCCACAAAAACACATACATGCTACATGTCTGCAGGCACCGCGGATAAGACAGAAGGATTAGACTGAGATAAAGTTTTTATCAGAGACCACAAAGTACATTTCAAATGCTGAGTGTTATTAGGTGTCAGCTGGTCCTGCTGATTCACTAGACAGTGTATTTTACAGCCCTCGCATCACTTCACCAATAATGTCTCAGGCATATTAGATGAGCACAGAATGTCGGTTTCAAAAAAACTTTCTCAGCGGTCTTGCAATTTGTTACTGAACTCTCTAATCCTTCTCGGTCCTCTCCAAGGCAGTGACCCAGGTGGGTAAAAGGATTCTGGGTAGCTTGTTTGCAAGCAGTTCGTTAAGAGCAGTAGTTGGTGTCAATAACAGATAGACGGATGAATCTCAGCAATGATTTCCCACATGAAAAAGAGGTTTAATAGATGGGCGTGGTTGCTGGTGAGCAGCATAGGTGAAATATTTGGACGTGCATGGTCAGTTTTAATGAAGAGAGTAAGCTGAATAAGAGTGGTATGAAGATACGAATGGATGACTGGGCTCTTTCTTTAAAAAACCGGCAGAAATTATGCATGTGAACTGTAGGTCTGATATAAGTGCACTAAACAAGTGGAAAAAGATATAATCTGTGCAGACACACGCGCACACATTCATGCACAACCTCTCATACATACAGGTATGAACACACGCATACACTCAAATACACATAAGTGTTCAGCAATAACTGTTAATATGCACAAGTTGATTAATATTTTTGCACAATTACAGTGACTAAGCAGTCCACCGTCAGGATTATTATTCCCTCCCAGCAGTCTGTTCCCTTCTTCATTTACATCTTGGGCCGTTTTCTCTTCCAGCAACTACAATTTATTTTCCTTTCATTTTGTTACTGTAGGCAGCCCTGCTTTACCTAAGGGACCACTGCATTACCCACTATCTACAAACCTGAGGAGACTGCAATATGACTGGGTGGAATCGTATGTACATGAGGTACAGCCCTGTACACAATGGGCAGGGCAAAACTGACCAAGTCAATGTGGTCTTCAGCTTTCTGTCTCCATATAAATCCCATAAAAGGCATTTATTTAAAAACAAAACACAAAAATGAAAGATCCATGATAATTTGGCAAATGCAGAGACCACAAGGGGCATGAGTAGGACTAAATATTATATTGACGTCAGTCTTCCTGCAGAATCCCCCGCCCCTCCCCCTAAGATTGGTCCTTTTCTCCTTTCTTCATAGCAGCAGCAGGACTGAAAACCACTGTCTTAATATATGTGCATACATATACATTTATATAATTAATTTGATTCATTTTGAAAATAATGTTAAGTAGCTACGTACGATACCACTACCATTTCATATGGATGCTAATCACCAGGAAACAATCTAGGAACCACAGGAAGATCTAGAAAGGCAGAACAAGACAGAGAGAAAAGGAGATGTGTGGCAGCACTTCTCCTCAAAGCTTGACTTAACAAAAGACCTTTAAGTAAGAGAAGAGAGGCAAGTGGGCGAGAGAAACAATCGAGGTTATAACAAAAAAAGAAAAAAAAGAAATCATGGCCTCTCTAGAGCCATGGATTTAATGTTTGTCCATTAATCCGATGGCGCGTCTGCACTGGAATGGTTTCATGTCTTGTTCTGCAGCGGGTTCGGTTACATTACAATCATTTCATGATATCTTCGCTGAAGGGGTTCAAGAGAACTGTGTAGTTGCGGCATCCAGCTGTTTTGCACTGAAGACAGAGGTCATGGTTAGGTGAAAGTTCAAGGGTAGAGTTTCAGTACTCAGCGGCGTACTCTGTACCATGGAGACCTCTGCACAGTAGCGTAAACTCCTTCACTATATCCTTCACCCTCCTCTTGTTCACTCGCTCTCTGTTTAACAATAGAGAAGAAAAGAAGAAACAATTATAAAGTGTATGTAAATTGCTCCTTGGGCTGCTTCCTTCTTTGTGTGTAAACATGTGTTTAAAGCATAATCAGTAAAGTCTCATATTTTACAAACATTTGTCTCCAAACTTAGAGCAGAACTCTGGTTTGTTTTCCCCC